CTGTTTTGGTGGTCCGAGGGACCACCATGTATAGTTTGGTCATAACTATCTTGTTCTTTTTCCGATTCAATTCAAACATTTTACATTCTGTGTTGGATGATAATGTCAATGTGTTGAGATCATAAGAATTGATTTTAAAGTGTGTAATTGCGTCCCATTTGGATTAGACACTATTGTGATGTTTAATCACTTTTGTACAATCCAAAGGAACAAAATTAAGTCCTTATAGGGCCCGATTGCTTGGCCTCGGCACAAGGGGTTTGAAACATGGCTTCCCTATTTTAATTTGACATTCTAATTCTATGTTTAGTTGATTTTACACCTTAAAATTTTGTTTAGATTAGTTGCATGTTGTATTTAAGCTTTGGGATATAGTTTACGTAATTTGTGCTATGAAAGTGTAATTCACATGCTAGTATTGCTTTATATGTAATTGCCTCATAAGGGGTTGCTATTTGAGTTTATTTTCAGTGGTTTTACAAGGCTAAAAATTGTTGTAATTGTCATTTAAAGGATTGTAACTTATTCACTTAGTTTGGTTTTAAGCAAGTGGCTTATTCAAGGCGTCCATTTTACCTTGTTTTTTGGCTTGAAATTTGCTCTAGTCTTTGCATCCACTATCAAAGAGAACCTTGAGAGTAACCGGAGATTTTCTCCATTTAGAACCAAAAAGTTTAATCAACCAAAAATCCCATGAAAATGATGGCTCTCTCTAGGAGGCCAAGTCTCTCTTTTGGAGATTCATCTCCTTCTTGGAGATCCTTTATAATGACCTTAAAGGAATGACTTTGAGTATTTTGGAGTATAAACCCCCCTCATGTAGAAATCATTAGGGTCCCTTATTATCAAAAAAACACTTTTTTTAACCATTAGGTTCTTTATTTTTAAAAAAAACATTTTTTTTTTTCAAAATTATAATAAAAAAATAAAAATTAAAGATTTTGATTATCACCTAACTTAATAATAAATATATATATAAATAAATAAATAAATAAAAAGTGGTTTCTCGTGCTCAATTGCCTGCCATAGACTTTTACATACCAGTCCGTTTGTGCGCACCCCAAAGGCGGCGGATGAAACTTTTGAAGATAGCAACACGTAGCAAGAACACCACAAGCAAAGACGGTGCAGTTTATCTTTTTCATAAGTAGTGGTGTGGCTGTTTTATTTTGCGTGCGCATGAGGCCGATTGGGAAAGTAGGAGAGAGAGAGTAGGGTTGAGAGAATGAGAATGAATCTTTCGTAAGAGACAGAAAAACAGAGGAATCTGCCTTGTCCGGCTGGTGCATATATGAAGAATATTTTTTACTTCAATCAAACAAAAAAAAAAAAAACAGAGTAATTTGTAAAGAGAGATTGAGTGGTGTGATACAATAGTAAAGAGTGAGGTTATGATGCCAGTCCATTATCAAATATTTTACTTGTTATTGTTCACACTGTAGTTCATAGTCGGGTCGTAACTTCATCAAAAACCACTTCACCTTCCTGTCACCATTTATGTAATAATCCTAAAATTTAAAAAAAAAAGAAAAAAGAGAAAAGAAACTTTTAATAAGTGATGGTCCGTATGAACATGATAGTCCTTAGGGACTATCACTACTTTCAAAAGCTTCTACCAGGTTCTTTTGCTCTTGCCACGTCCTTTAGTGGACTTGGGCTTTAAGCGTTTAAGACGTAATTTAACTATTACATCTCATGTGTAAGGTGAAACTTAATAAAAGATTATAATAAAGTGTCATAAGAATTTAAATAGGAGAAGTGAGGACTCCCACTTTAGAAAATTTTGAGATCTCTCTTTCTCTAATCGAAATGCAGTGAGTTCTTTCTCTCTCTAGCCGAATTTTTTATCGGAAGCTCCTTCTCAAATAATTTAAGTGACTTCATTATCTTGAAAAATAATCCGTTCTTTTTAAAAATGAAATGAAATAATTATTTCTATTTATTATCATGAATTTTAGGCGCGATAAATTTTATACGCAAGTGACCTCATTATTTGGAAAAATAATCTTTTTTAATAAAATTATGATATTTTATCTATGTTAGAAATTGTAAATGCTGTACAGTCTTAGAAAAATAAATTTTTTCCTTTTTTTTTGTCTATTGTTAGAAAATTTTAGATACTGTAAAACTATTAGAAATAAATGTGATATTTCTGCTTTTAGTAAAATTGTGAGATTTCTTTCTACTGTTTTTGAATATTTAGACATTGTAAATTTCATGTGCAAACGACTACCTTATTATTTGAAAATTGATATTTTTGCATTTGATTATAGCATTGTCTGTGAAATGTTCATTTGCGAATTGACATCCCATAAATGGTGATAATTCTGTATTATTGAATTTCTATAAGAGTTTTTCTATACATATTTTATTGGCAATTATGCTATAATGTCTTTACGAACTGCTACCTTTCTTCATTTAAGCCCAAAATATTTGACTGGTTATTTTAGAAATGTTATTGAAAGTGATTGTTATTAATGGTTTCAGTGAAATTCATATTACTAATTTCAGTGATATGCTGAGTACATGATATTGCTGCTTTCGAATGTTTAAAGAGATTTAGAACTACTTTAAGAATGCAAGTGGACTCATCCGGTTCGTCGATGAGGTATAAGTAGACCTATTTAGGATGCCGGTAGGGATTAAGTAGACTCATCCGGTACGTCGGTGAAGTATAAGTGGACCTGCAGAGATTAAGTGGACCTATCTGGGATGCCGATAGGGATTAAGTGGACCCATCAGGACGCTGATGGGGTATATAGGTGACCTACTTGGGATGCCAGTAGGGTAATTTGTGAAATCCTTTAAATTATGCATTGCCGTTAAAATGTTATACTTATTTCAATTATTCGAATTATACTTAATTATGCATTTTTTTTTAAAGTAAAATTGTTAATGCATTTCTGTTAGTAGACCTCCTTTTTGAAATATTGATAACTTTCAACCATGATTATTTTTAGGATTATGCCTTTTTGAAATATTGATAACTTTCAACCATGATTATTTTTAGGATTATGATGATCACTTACTGCGTAGCCAAACTCATCAAATTATGGTAAACATTTTTTTCAGGATAACTGCGATTTCATTTTGAGTGCTCGTCAGGATCAATTTTGGAAGATAATGTAATTGTGCTTAAACTTTCTTTTGTTACTTTGTAAGAATTCGCCACT